GTCTTGGATTGTGGATTCCACGCTGTGGATTCCGGATCCTTTGTCAGTAGAACGTGGATTCCGGATTTTCTTGAGCTGTATTCTGGATTCCAAATCCAGATTCCCGTACATGGGGCGAATACTCATTTTAGGTCAACATTTTCAGACTGACGCCTCTACAACCTCGTTTCCAAAACGAGGTAGACGCCTTGGTAACCTGGTGCTTTCCCTGAACTTTTCGTACGTCTTAAGTTCGGTTCACTATGTTTAAAATGCCATTCAAGGCTTTTAACCCTGGGAGCCAGAGGGTTCATTGCTTGCCGGTATCGAAGTTGCGAACCAAGCTTCCCACCTTCAAAGCGCTTACATATGCGCGTTTGACACTAAGAAAGAGAAAAAAAAAAACTCTGGAACCTAGGGTACACTGTCTAACTGAAAGTATAATGCAATTGTGGTTCAACTTAAAAATACCTGAATGTAACAGCTCTATAAAAATTAACGATTAAATTGCCAAAACAAATTTATTTTACTTCGTACTAGTAAACACGCTATGCTCTTACTGTAATAATATATCTTATTTATAAGTTATCTTGGTAAAACTATAGCACTGCTCCCTCCCTTACTCCCACCCACCAACACTGCTGGATTGCGAAGGGATTAAAAAAGATATGAAAGAACGTTGTATAAAACAGAGAAAAAATACAAACAATTGTATTGACATTATTGTGATCATAAAACATACCCTAGCATGGTATAAAAAATGGATAGACCAGCTATAACTCAAATGAACATAGCAGTGCATATTACTGGCAAATGCTCTATTCTTGACGCATGAATGTTTCCTTGCGTTAATTTAATATTTTGAAATGAACTATCAAGGAAGTTCATAGTACTGCTTGTATGTGGAAGACTAGTAAATTCTAACGTTGCAAACAGCGTTTGAAAGAAACCATTGTCGTATCTAAAACAAACTTCGGCAAATGACCCCGCGCTTCTCCCTCAGGAACAAGACAGTACCCGAGAGAGCGGTTGAAATCAAGCCTAGGAGCTCGTACCAGCCCGAGAATACGGATACTAGCGCTGAACCAAACAAGGGTTTTCCCATTCATTTTCTCCCATTCGTTAAAATTTTCGTCCAATTAGAAAAGGGATTCACTCCTTTTTCATATTTCAAAAATTCGAATTTTTCGTGCTAAGCTTGAAATTAAAGATGGTTGCAGATTAACGATCTCGAAGTCACTAGCCTGCGTGGCAGGCGGATTTTTGGTTGTGATTTTGTTCGTGTTTCGTAAAGTAAGTGATCAAACGAGAAAACGATGGGACAGGGGAGAGGGGAGAGACGAAGAAGGAAGAGAGACCGACCTCTCTGGCTTTTTCCTTTCACTCCCTCCCGCCGGCCACGGTTTTCTCGTTAGACATCTGTTTACCTTTCCCGCGACTTTGATTCTTACTTTCACGAACCATAAACGAAAACCCCCGGGGAGTACTCCTGGAAATGCTTGCTGGGGTGTGCCGCCGGGTTCTCAAAATCCTGACCTTATTTCAGACAAAAAATGCCATTTTCCGCACCCGTTTTCAGACCTTGCCTCTAAAATCCATACCCGTTTTCAGACCTTGAGGTGTTCACAAAACGCAACATAAACACTGACATGAAACAGAAATTATGTCATCATTGCTGAAATTAAAACTGCAACAAAACGATTTCTTAAAATCCATTTCGAATTCGTATATTACGCTTTCTTTCTTATTCAGTTGGAATTCTGAAACGACGAACACATTGATACACCACCGTAGTTCCGTCGGAAACCATACCCGATTCCTGACCAAAACGGCGCAAAAACCATACCCTTTATGGCGACACATATCTATATGGCTTATAAAAGGAAGTACCCCCCCCCCCCCCTCCGCGAAAAATACACCAAAAAAACCGCCTGCGAGGCAGGGGACAAAGTCAAATTCTTGCTTGATTGACTAGTCACCGTTCGATTTAGAATATGATAACTGTACCAGCCAAAGATCAATTTGTCCACGTCACTGACACATAATAGGTATGATAGTATCAAACTGTTAGAATTCACCAGGTTTATATCAAGACAAAACTATAGCAGTTTTGAACATTAATTAAAGCACATTGTCATCCCTGATATATTAACCAGGATAATGATAATGATAAATTTGAGATTCGCTTAGATTAATCATTTTGTAATTAAAATTTACCAACAAAATGGTCACTCTTCCAACAAGGAGGAACTTGGTTTTATTTTTACGAATTATGACAATATATGTGCTGAACAAGGCCTGTGATTCGTTGATTGGTTCTGCATGTCGCCGATTAGAATATACGTAAGTGCAAGCGTATTTGGCCAACTAGACAGAGGATAACAAATTCAACTTTCAGACCTGTCAATTTCATATTAACCAAAAATTTTCCTCAATGTGACAAAAATACTACGAATACAAAAGAAGTGGGAATTGTATTGATTTTCTATAGATCTACTGTCAAAAGAAAAAGAATCTTTTACCACTTAAGCTCGGTTTTCAGCCGTTTGAGGGAGTCTGGTTTGCATCGTTCTTACAATAAACGCGAAAGAACGAGGGCGCACAAAACGGCTAGAAATTGAGCTTAAGTGCCACTAAGCTTATAGAAGTCGTTGAATTAGAACGTTCTTCACAGAGCTGTAGCGTAATCTGTATTTCTATATGCTCTGATTGCTGGCCAAAACAACACAGTACTGAAACAAATATTTACATCATCTATTAAATTATCTACGGTTTTCTATCTTCCAAAGACTGTTCTATCACGAACGGCCATTCTCAATCTGTTAAAAACACTAGCCTACGGCTTTTCCAACATTGCGTAAGTGCTAAAAACCTAGCGAACATCACCTTTTTGATGGGCTTCTCTTTTGTCCGCACTGACAGCTGGGTGGTTAACTGCCTGCGATGTCACATGACTCCAACAAAGCAGCTTGAATTCTAAGACTAGGAAAGAGGATAATACGCCATCATTCAACGTTAACGCTTAATTGGGGGAAATTTTCAGTTATTTTCAGGCCTTTCTATGGGAAAATTTAAATCTTCGGCGGAGTAGCAAGGAGTGACACGTTGTACTGTCGCACTTTGTAATAATCGTCGCACTTTGTAATACCTGTCGCACTTTGTAACAACACTTGTCGCACTTTGTAATAAAAAAGCTGTCGCACTTTGTAATAACAGACCATCGCACTTTGTAATAACACTTGTCGCACTTTATAATAAACTTGAAATAGATGGTCGGAGGGCAAGTAAACCCAGTAATAAGTGTCATCATCGACAACAACGACAACGACAATAATAATAATAAGTGTTCACATCAACTTCTGGCTTCAAGATCTTTCTAGGGAAGTACAACTCTTTATATGCGGACGACCTCGATAGAGAGAAAGTGTCTACGCCTATTACAAAATAGTAAACGACTTCACAGAAGACTTCAAGTATGCGAATTTCTTAAATGTTAACAAGAGCTCTTGGTGTTAATCAATCTAAACGTAAGCATAAGAGAAAAAAATAAATACACGTTTTCTCGACTTTTTCTTAGTCATAAAATGCATCTGTTAGCCCTTCTGGATCTTTTTACAGACCAAAATCACAGATTTCCCCACGCTTTCATACACTTTATTTAAATTTCTTATAATCTTTTATTTTTCATATACTTCAACTAGCCAAATCCGTACCCTTTCATATACCTGAAGCCTGAAAAATGTTACCCCTTCTGGACGCGGCCTCCCCGTGTAGGCCATTATAGGATGTACCCCCCGCGAGCTAAACCCTGGTCAGAAGATCACACCCAGACCTTATTTCAACCAAAAAGTCAACGTCTTTAGGCTGCTTATTTTTGTTATTGTTGTAAGTTAGTAACTGTTCCTTGTGCCAAAAGGCAGAAACGGGGCCAAAACAAGGGATTACTACAAGCCAAGAAATAATAAGGCAGGGGTTTCAATAAAAATTGAAGTAGCCAGCAGGTTTGAGAAAAGTAAAAGACTGTATCAAAAAGCGGCTTTTACTCCGGCCCCTTCTTCTACAAGTGTCTAGGGGCGTGCTTACCTTGAAAATCTCAAAATTTCAATGCCCTAAAATGCGATTTCCAGCGTTCTGGGCGCTAAATTGAGTACATAAGATAAAGTGTTTTGAATCAATTTGGACAAGTAATGCACATTAATATAAGTCCCAAATTTTTCTTAAATATTTTAAATCTGAGGCATAAAGTCTGTCTAGGTCCAGCAAATTGAATTTTAATATACGTTTTGACAGAATTTTTTCTTTAATTTAATACTCTATTTCCAGCCTCCAATTTAATAGAAAAAAATAGCCGACCTCCCTGAGCAAAGTAGCGGACGTGTTTTGTCGGTCGTCGGTGCTTATTGAAACCCCTGAATAAGGGGACAGAGGGAGAATCTTAGGGCATTGGACTGGATATGTGAATTTCACTTACGATAGACGTTCGCATGTTTAACTGATTATTTTAAACGTTATCAAGTCCACGCGCGACTGCCTCACAGTAAACAATGCAGAATATTGTAATGGCGACTGTTAAATTCTGATTTTTTTTTCGGGTTAATTTGCAATTGCTTAAATTGCAAATCACCACTACGACGATCATATCTTCATTTAAAATTTGTATTTCCGCAGTTCGTATCATTTTCATTGCTTCATTCCTTTCACGGGTTAAGACGAACTCGACAAATTGGCCTGCTCCCAATGCATGGGTCTTCATAGCTCAATTGGCTTACGCAGAGGCCATAGGTTCGAATCCCGTTGAAGTCCCGAAATTTTTTTTTTTAATTGCCATGACCATTGCGACGTTCATACCTTCATTTAAAATCTGTTGAATTCTCTCTTAACAAAACTGAAAAAAAGTTTACGGACCTCTCCGGAAACTATTCCAACTTCTAAACGTTTCCCTTTCTGTCCATAATTCTCTCTTGTACAAGCTCAAAGTTCTCTGAAGCATGCTACGCTGGTTGGAAAACTTAATAGAGTGCTTACAGTAACGACGAAATACAAACCTTTTTATTGTTGAGTTTCTTGTCTGAGTCCAAACAATGCAGCTGCTGAACACACACTGGTCCTGATATGACGAACTTTTTATCAGCATCTGGGAGCTCACTGAGGCTTTGTGACTTGCTAGCACTCTTTGATGAGTCAGTTTTAGTCCTCTGGAAAGAAATGAAGGATTGATTGGTTTATTCAGTCATTCATTCATTAAATGAATGAGTGAATGAACGAACAAACAAAATTTTTGTTGTCATGAGGCTTTGATTTTTAAAGTTAATAGTTTCTCCTTGCTATGACTGACCTCAAAACAGTACACACTTACGACGTAAGTATGAAAGCGAGGCCTACTCGTCACCAGATTTGTCGCAAACTTTAAAAAAGTAAATAGGGAGGTGAAAACAAGAACGAGTTGTGATTTAGATATTTAAAATTTAACTCCAGAAGATATTCCTGGAGCCGTTTAGTTATAGCAAATGAACGTGCGCTGGAAAGTGGACAGTGGAGAAGCTAACCTTCGGCAAGGATCCTTGAAACGTCAAGCCTTTGCTATTATCGGAACGATTATTACAAAGCGCAACAACGTAGCATTTGTGGCAACTATTTTTTTATGGTAGTTGTAGGGTGCGCTTCGGTCACTTTATACAATTTAATTGCGATGTGGCCCCTAGGTCTCGCTTTCATGCTTACGTTGTAAGTGTGTATACCATGTCGAAACTGTATGAGAGGAACCGAGAAAGCTTCGATTCTTATTGTTATTGACACATTACTGTTGCTTAGTTACAAACTCGTCCTCAGGGATTTACAATTAGGAAAAGGGAGTTATTGACTTTCCATTCACTGTATGTCCTGTATCTCATACTCATTGAAGACTTGTTGTTGGATCAATGCATCAATCTGCTCACTAGCATGTAAAAATAATAATTCGGATAGAACTTTTCCTCCGACTTTAAGCTCCAGCCGAGTTTATTTTACACAGAGTATTTTACATTCAGAGATACAAATAAATGAGAATGAGTTGTGTGCTTAAAAATTTTAAACCAGTTTCACACCAGTTTGAAAAATTCAAACCGAAGAAAAAATTTGAACCACAACAAACACATGACGTACAGGGTTCTATCTAGGGTATTTGTGGGGGAGAAGCTTCCATCCCCCAAAAGAAATTTTTATCATTACAGTATATAAGAAATTACATTGAAAAAAAAAATCATGCAGACACGACGAGTCAGTGCACATGAAGTTAGTTTTCTCTGTCTAAGGACACTATATGACAAGGAACACCATCACGACGAAAAAATAAAATAAAATATCACTGTAACATTTCTCAAAATTGTGTCTCAAAATGCACCAGATTGCATCTCAGCGCATCTTCATTTCAAAACATTTCGGCGGGGGGCATGCTCCCAGATCCCTCCAGGAACCCTGGCATATTACTACACCTCCCAAAACCCAATCGCATGTGACCCATAATTGCTGGTTATCAACATGCGTTTGCTTGTCTGGCGTGTCGTAAATAAGACGCTCAAATTTAGTCTCACGTCGTTTCTAATATGTCGAGCGTTAATAGTTAACATGACAATATTAGAATATTAGAATGTTTAGAATATTTACGACACGCCCGGACAAGCAAACGCATTTGATAACCAGCAATGTTAACCGTTTCTGATCGGCTTCAAATCCCTTCTAAAACGACACAGGAACACAGGTAAATACATCTTGTTATTTCATCACTACGACAACTTTATTGAATTGATCTTCGACATGAAGATTTCAGTAACAAAACAATAACGAATGAAAAAAGTAAAATAAAAGTTAAGTAAGAAAGAAAGGATCAATTGAATATTATCATAAAAGAAAAAATTACTTCGCTATGTACGGCTTCTCCGCTACTCGTATGGCAAGAAAGTTTAATTAGAGTTCGGATTTGTTTATTGTTTTGTTTGCCAAAAAATTGTACAAATCAAATGAAATCTAATTACTTAAAATCTCATGGCGAGGAAGCCCAAGAGAAGCCACCCGGCTTATAAGGAATGGGCTCCCTCGGTTAGATAATTAGAACAAAATATTATCATAATTACACAGGGGAAAATCAATGGCAGAGCTACAGTAAATCTTACATGCATAACAATTTAGAATATTTTCATAACAATTTGCATAACAATTTAGAATATTTTCAATATGAGAGGCACTGAGATTTAAGATGTTTTGATCGCACATAGACATTATACATAAAAATAGTGCCTTGCAAGACGTATTCGTAAAATTACTGTTTATCGAGTATAGGATCTCCAAGAAGGTACCCCTTATATGAGAAAGTGATGAGTGGGTACATTTCAACAAATAGTGGAATTCATCACCAATTTCGGATCTATTACAAAGGGGGCAAAGCCTCTCAACTCTGGGTATCTTCTTGTAGCGCCCAGATTCAATAGGTAGCAAGTGGCAAGAAATTCGCATTTTGGTTACTGCCACTCTTGTCTTAACGTTCTTTATTAAATCAAGATAAGATTCATTTTCGTTTTTCACTTCACTATACAGACTTAATTTATTGTCAACTGAGGAGTCGAATTTATCCTTGGTCAGACTTTTCGACCAATATTCTTGGTATTCTTTAAACAAATTTCTTTTAAACATTCTAACCAGGTAAGGAAATGTCCTGTGATCAAGTATATACTAAAACAGTGGATAATGGTTTTCGCGCGCTCTGATTGGCTACTCAGTCAGTGAATATCCGGCAATACTGATTCACCTCTAGTTCCTCCGAGCGAGCGACGCCAAACTCGCGTAAGTTGCGAGCAAAATGCCTTCCCGGTTTGCTGCCGAAACAAACAAAGAAATTTCACAACTAATCAAGCAAGCTGTTCCCGAAATACACGAAGAAGGTGACGAAGTTCGGTTTGGAAGTTTTAACAAGTAAAGCTTTGTCTTTTTGACTTGAATTTATCGATGAAACCGGTGAAAAAGTTTTTTGTTTACAAATGCAAATTAAGCTTAAGTCTTACGTTATTTTATTTAGTTGACTTGTTCGTAAATAAGCTGAAAACTAAATTTAATAATCTTTTTTACAGAATGATTTTAAATACAAAAAGAATTCATAACTCCTTTTGAAGAAATTTTCCCAAGGGCTAAACAAATGCCTTCAAAAGTTTTATTTGTCGGCAAGAAAAAGCGACGACCGCGGCCGTTCGGTCATTGCGCGCCAAAATTGTAATCGTTGGCAACAGTAAATGAGTTAAAAATCATCTTTTTTGTGCTCAATTATCTCACTGTTTTAGTATATACTAAAACAATTATTCACCTCAGTGTCGGTGGCTAGTGGTATTCACTGAGGTGAATAATTGCTATTTATTTTATTGGCTAATACAACGTTCGGGTTCCCTGTGTCGCCTCTCATCGTTCGCCACCGCGCCTTTTTTCGCAGACCAAAGTGGAACCTACAATCCTGGACAAAAGTCCTTTAGGACAGTGCTGTAGTATACTCGGAAAAAATTCTGGATACAGGCGTCCAACGTTGTTTGTGGGGTGGGGGAGGGACTGGGCATGTGTGAATTGAAAAAAGCCCCACAAATAAAATTGTGTCATAAGACTTTTGTCCATGATTGTAGTATTTCGTCATGAAATAGAGGGGAATAAAAACACGAGCATGGAAGGCATGCCATATCTACCAAAACAGAGATAAAAACAAATACCATGCCAGTAACTGCCCTTTGCACTCTGAACAGATCGTAAAAACTAGTCAAACACAGCAGCATAGAATTCACTAGTTTTATGGTACAAAAGATTTTAAATTTCTATTCGCTTGAGTTTAATATGTGTTTGGAGTAAATTTTTCTGCTATCTGAAAATATACTTGTATCTGCACAGCAGAAATTTTGTTACGTCCCATAAGAACTACAAAACATTTTTGCTTGGAAAAAGGACTTGCATTTGAATAGAAATCGGCATCTTACCAAAAATATAGTTTCTCAATATTTTTAACCGTGACGAAGTCAATGGTCAAATAAGTCTGAATAAAAAATTGTATACAAACTGTCGTATATAAGTAAATTAATAAGTAAAAATATCTCACTCGTGACTTGATTTCTTCGAAAATGCCAAAATAAATAAATAAATAAATAAATAAATAAAATAATTAACCCTTGCTAAGGTAAAAAGTTTGTAACAAAAATTCAAATATAACCTGTGGTAAAATCCTGGCAAATTAGGGATATTTCACGGTATGCCAGGAGAAAACATTAGATAACCTATATTATCCTACAGTACTTATTTTAAGTGCAAACCGACCAACACTTCGCTCAAATCGGACCACCTAGGAAGACTGGGATGCACTGCAAAATATTCTCCAGCTCTTCAGCCCACCGATTGGCTGTATTCGTAACATAAAAATATTTCACAAGTATTGAATAGAAAATATCCCAACAAAATTATTTACATGTAAGTAAAGGAAATGTAAAAGTAAAGAATAATTATAAAAATCTTAACCAACTTAACATATTTCCTCGAACAATAGACGTCCCTCGAATAATCACCCCCTCCCACCACTGTACGTAACCCGTCGATACCCATAGCGGTAAATCTGGAGGATGAACCTAAAGTGTAGTCTGATCCAGCAAAACTGATCAGTGACGACGCCGGGGATATTGACAATGAAAATTAATCAAGGAACCAAATTTGGAACTCTTAAAAAGCCTATGATCAGTTTCTTTGATGTGTTTATTTTTGATTTAATGGGAAAATACAACAAAATATTTTGGGAACGATTTCTAGTGAAAAATCTGAAAATAATCGCCTCCCTCCAATAATCGCCCCCTTTTGGCGCGAAAAAAGAAATAATCGCCCGTGGCTATTATTCGTGGGTGATTCGAGGAAATACGGTATTTACCTATGAGGTGGGAGGAACTATTCGACCATTAGACATTGTGATTAATGTACTTTCCACGAGGATTTTTTGACTAGCGAGTTACTACTACAATTAACCTATACCTACGATTACAATTACACCTACAATTAACTCCTTTTATCATTTCAAAATTTGCTGTTCAATTTGCAATTTATCGTGCTCAAAAATGATTCAAAGTCTTTTTCCCCGGCAATATCATCTTACTCTTCATCTTGATAGCTCTTGTGTTAATCCTCTCGTGTCATTATCCGACTCGGACATTGTCATAAACAAGTGGTTGAACTCAGGACTGAAAAAGAAGACAACCAACAAGTTAATATGAGTCGTAGTTTAGCCGATTAAAAAATATTAAAATGAAAATGCTAATCACAATTCACATAAAGCTAATAACATTCTTCTTGAGTATAATTCAAAAGGTGTGTAGCTGTTTCGCGAATCTTGTGCGATTACTGTGAATGATCCAATTGACGCCCACCCCCCCCTCAAATAAACGCCTCTTGCGTTATAAACGTCCCCTCTACGGTGTTAAGTTTGCATTAGATGCCTCTCTCTAACAAACGCCCTCTGTCATATGAACGCCCCCCAGAAAAATTACCCTAAAAGACAAGGAATTAGCAAAAAGGAGCAACATCATTCAATTTACTCAGATTCTTGCTTTAGTAACAAGGTTCGGTATATTGCATCTTATTGAATATCAAGCTCGAAGTAAGGATAGATTAACGAAGACAATAGCACCAGACAACAAAACCAGGTAGTCCATCACCAAAACAAAGTGCCAGTCTGAACTCATTTGCAGACCAATTGGTTTATATGTATTTTGTCACTGTAGTTAACTTTTTATCTCAGTTAATTTTTATTTCTCCATTGTTTTTGGATAAGGTAATGTATGCCAATGAATTTGAAACAAAAGAAAAACAAAAATTAACTAAAATAAAAAATTAACTGCAACATATATACCTTTTCTACCCTAATTTCTTTCCTTCTCAAATTAACATCATCGTTTGCCCCCCAAACAACCAGAATGCCCCCTTAAAAAGACCCTTGCCATATTAAATGTGGTGCGGTTTTTGTTCCTTAATTACTCGGCATTCCTTTACAGATCTTTAAATCCAAGAAGTAACGATAGGAAAAGTAAGACATTGTATTGACAAAACTGTTGCATTTTTGGTAGTTTTTGGTAAGCTGCTCTTTACCAAGGCAAGGGAGAAGCTAGGGCCAATATGGAGGTATGGCAACAATAATAATAGTCCCCGAAGAGGACATGTGCTTACTGGCAATGAATAGTCTGTATTCTAGTAACCATGAAAAGAAAAAAGGGGCAAAGCCGGGTGTACTCGAACCCGGTACTTCCTCCGTGCGCTACGAGGACAATAGAAATGACCTTACGGACGGACAGACGGACTTATACAGACGTTGTAATAAGCCAGTAAGCAGGAAGGAGTGTGATCAATTTCCAGGGATTCAGCGCAATCTTTCCAAGGATTTTAAGCGCAACCTTCCCGGGGGATTAGAGTAATCTTGCCAGGGATTTAGCGCCATCTTTCCAGGGATAAAGGGCAATCTTTTCAGTGATTTTAAGCGCAATCTTTTAAGGAACTTAGCGTCATCTTTCGAGGGATTTAGGGTGATCTGTTCAGTCAGGATTAAGGCATTTTCCGTCAGTGATAATTTGACTTATACTTGAAGTACTCATCTCCCAGGATCGCTACCATAAGAATACAAGCACAAACTCACGGGTGGCGATGCAAAAAAGTACACCATAACATGACACGTTGAATAACTACATTCTTCAACTAAACATAATAATGAATAACAAAATAGTCAGACAAACCCGTGTCATTGTCCATATATTTGAAAGATATTGTGGACAAAATGGTGCAGATATACTGCGACGTTTTCGAGACTTGCGGATGCGCTTTCTCTAAAAAAAAATAAAGTATTGATACAATGAACAAATAAGTAAGGCACTTTTAAACCAAATTACAACTGATAGAGCTTTTCTGTATTTAACTAACGATAACACGTTCTAGCACTGGAAGAGAGGTAGAGAAAATCTAAAATCATGAGAATTCCTGATCTACCAGTTCACCCGTCTTCCATTATAGTGACCTTAAGATCCGAAAACGGCGACGGTGGCGAAAACGTCGCTTAAAATGTGACTTTGACGTCCACCAACCTCAGGGTTTATTCTAGAGCGCGACGACCTTGTGGGATTTCCGCAATTTGGAAAAAAAATGCCGCATGAAATTTACGTTGCCGCGTCAAGTGGGGCGCCCGAAAAAGTAGACCCAAGGATAAGTGCAATTTTTTTTTTCAAACAACAGATGTGGAATGTGGTTTCAGTAACCAGAATTTAACAAAAACGGCCATGAGGAACAGATAAGGGGAGGAATCCTTATGGACAACTTGATGACAATTTCAATTGAAGGACCTCCCTTGTCCAAATTTGATTGTCATGAGGCCTACCAGGTATGCGTACGAAAAGGAACAGGAGAGTAGAAAAGCTATGATCTGAATCACGAGTCACGGAGACTCTTTTCCTTAAAACTTGTGGCCTGAAAGAAACAAAATTATTCATCCTAATGCTGGATGAAAGTACAGAATATATGTAGCAAAAAAGCTTTCCATATACGTTAAAGCATTAGAGTCTTTTTAACTTGATGTTCAGTACTTGCAAGTCTGTAAATGATAATTTCAATAAACGTTCGTTTTCGCATGGAACAGTCTGTAACAATAAGTTCAAATACCTTTTGAGGGACCCCCTTTCAAGGACCCCCTTTCTTGAAAAAGGGCCCCCTAAAATTACAGAAGGGGGCCTATTTGACCCTCATTGGTCAATTTCTAGAATAAACCCT